GGGCAGTGTGGACTGATGACTGACGAACTTGATGACTAATATTATTTTCCAGGCACTTTTAATATTTATTCTCGTTATGTTGGAGAGGAGAGAGGCTTACCAAGATCCCACGACCCAACTACGTCGTAGGTTATGCCGGCAAATATTGCCTGAACATCGGACGCCTCTCCCAACGTTAGGATATTTCATATTCCTTAAGGAATTTTACCAGGATCCACAATCTCGGTACCTGCGGTATCGGAATAGGTGTACCTAGGGATGGCATAGCTTTCATCTTTATTTACCATGAGTAGTTTGACTGTTTGGTAGAACAGGGAGCTTAAATAATTTTAAATATGCGCATACTTATTTTGTCTCTAAATTAGTAACTTTAAAGTCCCCAACTTCTGTGACTGTCCGTGTCGAGAGGCCACTCAATACTTTGTCACAGAATAGAGGCCTGACTTTGAAATGATTTTTAACATGAGAAATTCCCTGTTTTGTTCATGGACAAATTTACCGAAATTTCCTGTAACCAAGAACTATGAGTTATCCTTTTTATAATACCATACCTAAACTAAGTGCCGACCGACTATTTGGTAAAATTAACGTAGATACAATTTATAGGTGCTTTCTGGCCGACGCCCCACGACGTACTAGGCATTTGTCCGGTCGTTTGGTTCGAGTCCAGTAAGAGCAGGAGCGCAAGCATGACGGTAACGCATTTAGCAGTTGCGGTGCGGATCTACTGTTCGTTTGTCGATCCAGGACAGAATGGGAGTGGGGGAACTGACAGGCAACGCAAAGCCGACGCCCCACAACGTACTAGGCATTTGTCCGGTCGTTTGCTTGGTTCGAGTCTTTGCGGTTTCCCTTGACATATTTGGGCGGTGGACGATTTTTAGTTTCTCTGGCCGACGCCCCACAACGTATTAGGTTAGTTGGTCATGTCGTTTGCTTGGATCGGTCAAATAACTTGTTTTCCGACGACTGGCGGGAGGGGGTTTTTGGACAGATCCCTTCACTGGTAGAAAAAACATCGTAAATGTCACTATTTCGCCAACGTTTCAACTATTTTTCCCAGCGGTTTAGATCCTAACATGAAAATCGTAAAAACGAAAACGTTAAATAGTTAATTATTTTTGGAATAATCTCGTAGTAAATCCAACGATTTTTTAATTTCGATCAAATATGTTAAAATAGTACAAAATAATTAAATTAAATATGTTCCATAGTAAAAAGTATTATATTTTTATATTTATTTTAAATATTTTCATATTTAGTTCCAGTAAATAGAATATTTCATTTGAATGGTTTTTATAGTTAAAATAATTATAGCCCGCCCTCAAACTCAGCATATTTTTATTTGGATTAAATAATTCTCATACTTAAATCAGACTGGGATGAACTTTAATATAAATACAAATTTTATTTAAAATAAATATAATCCCCGTTAAAAGAACTGTACTTTATTTTTGATTTAAATATAGTATTTAAGCCATACTATTATGGTGCATATTCAATTTAAACCGATCCGTAGTTTAAAACAAGCGTGATTTATATTTAATAAAGACCCAAATAAGTATGTGGTTTTATTGAAAATAAACGTAAACTTATAATCCAAACAATTGTTCTGCTTAAACTCTATTTGTACCATGCTAACACGTCATTATTACTTTTGTTTTAAATACATTTGTACTTAACGTAAGTCTTAGAATTTATATGATACGTATGCATAGGGCAGCTAGTAAAGTCTTCAATGTTTTTTATAATCACAGATTTTTGTGTTTTGCCACATTCGTACGCCTGCATGTGCGTACAAAACTGTTTAATTGCAATATTATTACAGGCAACGTAAACTGTTTGTGCTTCCACAAACGCAAAAAGTACCTTAAATAATAAAAAGTTTGTATTTCTTATTCCCAAACAATAGTCTTTCTTATATGTTATACCTTTGTTCAAAATAACCTCAGATATTTGAACATTTTCAGATGACAACTTATAGGAACTAATTTGTTTCAAGTATTCCTTATGTATGTCGTCATTTACAAAACTTATTACTTTAAAGTGGGGAGGAATTCCGTTCTTGTTCTTCATTAGAAAGTAAGAGAAACTAAGACTTTCTTTTATAGCGAGAGAACGACATTCAGCTATCCGCGACGTTATAGAACTTAAATATGACTTAGAGTTTCTGTGTTTAGCTTCGAACCTCATAACCCAAGATAGCTTAGGAGGTCCACATTTTCTTATCGCGGTCGGGTAGTAAACAAGAAAATGATGCTTAGGTTTCAAAGTTGGTCCATATAACAAAACATATAATTTATGATGAGCTTGAATCTTTCTATCAAGAACTTGTAAGTCAGCATCATTAAATTCATTTTGAAATAACATGTCAATAATTTCTAGCATTTGGGTGAATAAAATCCAGTTTTTGTTATTCTTGGGCACATAGCTCGCTATCTTAAATGGCAGATACCTAGCTAGGCAAAGTTTCTCACTAGCGGTCATTCTTAGTTCGATTTTTTGTAACTTACTCAGAACAAGAGGACGCAATGCATTTTTTATGTCTAACTCTCCAAAGGAAAAACATTTTTTCCGATAATTAATAATGTCTAAACTTAAAATTTTTCCTTTTATCAAAGCTGTGAGAGTTTGGCATACGCTATAAACACATACGCCTTCTAGGACATCGTGCATGAGATCAAAATAAAAATTTTCTGTTACATGAAAAGTTTTAAGTTCGTTAAATAAACAGTCGCTCTTAATTCCTGTTTCAAGAACATCTTGTGCTTTTATGTCATTTTCATACGAAGCCCTGTTTCTTAACAAATTTGGATGTTCACAAATGTCTCTTTTCATTTCTATGTTGTTTCGCCTGCATGCTCTGCAAAGTAGGTCTAATTTTAGGTGACAATTTAGGACTCAACTCGATATTAGGTTTTATAAAATCATTTAGAGCAAAACGATTTTGCAGAGCATGCAGGCGAAAGAACATAGAAATGAAAAGATGTCTCTTTCATTTCTATGTTGTTTCACTGCATGCTCTGCAAAATCGTTTTGCTCTAAATGATTTTATAAAGCCTAGTATCGAGATGAGTACTAAATTGTCACCTAAAATTAGACCTACTACAATGTATATAGTAAATGACTCTTTCCCTATGGTTACCCTAATTCCATTTTCTAGTTCCTCTAAAACCTGATATATTTGATAAAATACAACATCATTATCTATTTCCTTAAATGCTTGACTTGGTATATATGCAAAGGGAAAAATAAAATCTAACTTAGATTGCAAGTATTGAGGCAATAATAGCAGCCACATATAGATGAAACATGTGCACCTATGGCATTATTAATTTGAAATTCATCGGCATAGAAATTTAACGGAATAATAATATCATTTATATCATAATGTGAAAGCTTGTTAGCAAATGTACAGGTATTGACAAAGTTGCAAATAGTTTCCTTTTTCATTAGCTCTTTTTGATTTTTAACAGTAAGGTTCAAAACGTCTGGAATCTCGAAAAATTTTGTTATTTGGAACTTTACAGGCATAAGTTGTATGTTCACTTTGTGAGGCATGAGTTCTGCTTTGCCTCTTTTAATTTTAGGTACTAGTTTGTTTGAAATTGTATATGCCAAAGGATTTTCATAGAGATTTTTCTCTTTTAAAAACTTTAAAATTTTATACTCAGATACTATAGGCTTAAATGGACTCTTACAGAAATCTAAAACATAATTAAGTATTTCGTATGATAAAGTTGAACTTGTCAGAGCATCTTTAACTGCACTAGCTATTGGGGCTAGCAGATCAGCAATTTGTTTTTGTATAAACAGAATCTCATTTCTTGGCAGTCCGGTCAAGCGTGCAAGCCACAAGAAAAAAAAAAAGACTTGTCTTCAAAATTGTTTTGATAATCTGTGGTTTTAATATGTGCTAAGTTATTCTTTAGAGCGACACTTGATTCGCAATTGGAAGCTGCAGTAACATAAGTATTATTAATTTTGAAAATATTGATTTCTTCAATGCTGTCATTTTCCGATAATGTAATCTCAGCATGCGAGTTACAAATATGTTTCTTGAAAACGGCGTACTTTAAAAATAGTTTATGGCATGACTTAAATTTACATATTAACGGGTTGTCTATGGTCGGTTTCTTAAGTAAGTGACTTATTTTTAAGTGTTGTATTAATTCATCCGTATGCGAAAAGCTCTGACAGCACTTGAAACAGGAATACATTGCCAGTTTAGTAATAAAACGTTTACTTTCTCATAAAATTTAGCAAAGAAGTTAAGTTTGAAGACTTTTTATCATATGGGGTATGTGTATCATATATGTACTGCTGTATGAATAACCAAGCAAATTCTGACGGTACGGGGTATTTTAAGTTCAATGTATTAAAAATCTTAAAGCATACATCTAACGACTCTATAAAGGAGTCAAACTTATATAATGACTTATCAAAGTATACGAAAAATCCTGTCAAATTTTCTATGCATTCACCTTCAACTATAAAAAAAGGCTGCACCGTTTCTGAGCTTATATAATACTTAATAATTAGCTGCTGAAGCTTTTCCTCATAGTCCGCAATGGAATTGATTCTGAGGACAAGACTTTCCTGCGAGTCCAGTAGGGAGAATTTCTTTCTCTTGTTTTTTCCTTTTATTACGGCCCATGAATTATTTGACAAGACTGAGGTAAGTAAAATAGTGTAAATGTAGTCCTTGGAATCTGTGAATAAGAATATTTGGTTATGGCATAATTTAAAAAAGCTAAGCTTATCATAAAAAGATAAAGTTTAACCTGCAAAAAGTGTAGATTGAATTTTAAAAAATTATATATTACCGATTGATACCGTTTTCTGAGCTGTCTTTAATATTTTAAGACACTCTTTGTTTTGTATCTGATCTCCGTAAAAGCAAAAAACCTTTTCTTTGAATGGGTCCCATTTACGAAATAAAACATCTCCATTCTCAGGGTATAATAAGTTGAAATCAATTTTTATCTTTAAAGAAAAAGTTAAGTAGTTTTATAATATGTTTCGAGTAGGTTGTTTTATATATAAGGATTTAAATACATAAACTAATAGGAGATTTGGATCACAAAATGGTATACAAATGTACGGAATAGAAATTAAAACAAGTTACCAAGTCTGGAGCATGGCAATCACCGTATTTTGGCCACTCCTTTAGAAATTGTGGACCATCAAGCAATTCGATGTCTTTTTTGCGTTCGGCATGAGATTCCCTCCATTTCTGACACACAGAGAGCCAATCAGAAATTTCCCGCTTTAACTCTGCTTTCAAAGCAAAGCTTGTTATGTCAGCAAAACCACTTGTTTGGGACACAGGATCGGATTCCTGTAATGGACCGGATCGACCGCGCTTCAAAAGCTTTGACCTTAGATTTGCGTACTTCCAGTACAGTTTTCCTGCAGGATGCTTCTGTATGAGGTTTCGGGGCCTGTAGTAAACGTCCTGGAAGAAATTAATAAAAGCATAAATAACTTAATGAAGAACAGATTTGTTAAGTCAAAACACAGTTCAAAAACATTGATAGTGTTTAGATTTAGAACAAAACACGGTCATAACTTACTCTCCAGTTCTTCTCCGAGGGAAATACCGCCACGATTTGGTCCACAATATCAGCAAAATCTGTAGTTTTAAGCGTCTGCTTCCTAGCTGTGATGTCCTCTATAATGATATTAATTATCTGGTCTCTTTGATCCGTCGTTAAGGTGTTTTTTAGGTTATATTGCTCGAGGAGAAACCTTCCCCGTGGATACCCCTTCAAAATGTCTGCAACCTGTTAAAAACAATAATAAGACAGGTCGACAATTAAGAAGCCCAAGATTAAACGCTACAAGATCTAAAAGGATTTTACCTGTAGGCGACCACAGACCTAGATAATTTCCCTCACGTCCCAGCTTGAAAAAAATCGTGGTCAAAGTATAAATTACTATAGCTCAGTTGTTATAAAGACTTCGACCAATACTTTCTTTAAACTGTGGTGTGATGGAAAGTTTTTGATTTGGGTCGTAAAATCCTTTCAGATTATGTAGAGGTTAGTCTTGTTCAAAAGTAGTTAGGTTGTTAAATATAATTTTAAATCTTACCAATTTGGGTTTCGCAGCACCTGCAATAGGGATCTCCTGGTCTTGTTCGTCACCTGAGTCTTCACCGAAATTCTATTAAAAGAAAAGTTAGAATTTTGATTTTATTGAAATTTTTTTTACGAACGGCATAAGTATTTTGACAAAACAAAAGTTAAATATACTCATAATTTGATAATTTAGGTAATGAAATTTCAGCCAAATCCTGATACACGTGTTTACCACTTACCGAATAGTATACGTAAAAAAAGGTGAAACGACTGCGACGCCACAGAGCAGAATGCAACGGCAGCAAAGCGTCTTTTTAGCGCCTTTTTAGAGTTTTTCTTCTCGTGCATTCTACTCCTTTTATCTAGTTTGGGCGGGTTTTCACTTAATTTTCTTTCATATTCTTCATTTTTTTATCGTATTTTTTATCCATTTTATGTTTATTTCACAACCGTATGTCTTTTTTTGTTTTAAATGTAATGCTTTTTTAAGCTTTAATTTCTTCAAATGTAAATTATCATGAAATAATAACGCGCACAACAAAGAAGAAACTCAAAAAGGAACAAGGAAGAACGCTATAGTCGAGTACCTCGACTATCAGATACCCGTTACTCAGCTAAAGGGACCAAAGGGAAATGGAGATAAGCAAGCAGCAAATCGAGACTTAAATACGCCACCTACCGGCGGTAGATAGATTTAAGCGTTATGGGCGTTAGAGTGGGCGTGGCAACATTTTTTTTGGATCAATCGATAGGTATTGACGAGACCAATACATTTCAGTTAACATTTTTTATCTAGCATGAAAACTGTGGCCGTCACAGGTTTGGGCGGTTTGTGGGCGTTAGAGTGGGCGTGGCAATTTTTTTTCGGGTCACTCGATAGGTATTGATGAGAAGAATACACTTATGTTAAAATTTTTATTCTAGCATCAAAACTGTAGGAGCCACAGTTTTGGGCGGTTTGTGGGCGTAAGAGTGGGCGTGGCACATTGCTGAAACAAACTTGCGCTGCGTAAGAAGCTCAGGAATCTGCACGCCAAATCTCAATAGCCTAGCTCCCATAGTTTCCGAGATCTCAGCGTGCATCCGGACGGACAGACAGACGGACAGACGGACATGGCTAGACTCGGCAAGTGATCCTGATCAAGAATATATATACTTTATGGGGTCGGAAACGCTTCCTTCTGCCTGTTACATACTTTCTATGTATACAATCTAGTATACCCTTTTACTCTACGAGTAACGGGTATAAAAATGCGACAAAAAAAACGTGGACATGCACATGCCTTAATATTAAGTAATTATTGTATTTTTATTTGACTCACCTTTTGCTTTTTGCTGTACTTTTCACTTTTTCAACTCTCAAACTGTCTCTAAAAACTCACTCACAAAACTATTAATCACTTTTACTTCTGATCAGGAGAACCGCTTGCTTCGAAGTGATCGCGGGATTCGCTACAATGCGGAGTGTCAAAATATTTCGTGTATACATACATACATACATATGCATGTGTGCAAAAAGGACGGACAAATTCTGTCGCGTGCCGTTACTTTACAATAGAAGTCAAAGTAATGGGGAAGAAAATAACAAAATATGTACAAATAAGTCCTTAAGTTTAATAACTTGTATATGTCAATTTAGTAATATTTATTTTATTTTATTATATTTATATATTATATGACTATATCTTATTGTCAAAACATCGATACACAAGAAATATTAATGTTTTTATGCGTATACATATTTTCTTGACCACGAATGTACGAATGCGAATGGAAAAAGAAGACGCGCTTGCGTTTGCCGTTTTGCTTGTTTATATTTATCTCTAATTTGTCTGAATGTATGTAAGTATGCACATTTTGCCGTTGGTTTTACGGCCCAGCGTTTACAATACACGCACCTTTTTTCTTTGGCTAAGCATGTTTTTGTACTTTTAATAGTAAATTACAAAGCCAAATCTTATGATAATTGTCATGGAAATAGAAAGAATCTGCCGGTGGTTGGGCAGCCGTAACTAAAACCATATTCTTTAAATATTAAAGCTGATTTTCTTTTGGAAATTATTAATAATTTAAATTATTTTGTGTATATGGGTCACAAATTTAGTACATATATGTACATAGATACATATATGTACATATATGTAATTTGATTTCTAATTTACTATTATTTGCTCAAATACAAATTGTAAAAACGTTCTATATTCAAAATAAAAAAATTCATATTCCGAACAAATGGAAAAAGTATTTACTCGATATATAAAAAACCATCAAATATACTATGAATTGAACTACTTTTTATAATAGTTAAAACCAAGATGGCCACATTGGATTTGAATGTGACTAACTTGTTTTTAAATAAAAATCATTTTGAATTGAATACTTACATATTTGACATACGGCTTAAATATGTTTTTTTATTTAAATGAAAGGTTTTAATATTTAATATGACTATGCATGGGAGTAAAAAAAATCAAATAAAAATATATTTGATATCACTTCGTGTTTTTTCTACCAGTGTTGTCTAAACACAGCCAGTTTCCGTTTGGAGCATTTGAGCTGAATAGAAAGGGAAAGTAAGGGCATGCTAGCTTAGCGGAACCGCGTTGTGTAGAACCGGCTAACACCCCTAGTTAGGGATATTTATTTTGTTTTTGTTTGGGGCTTAAATATCGGACGGTTCTTGACCGAAGAGAAACTTGAAAAGCAGAGGGAAGCACTCCCAGTTTATAAACATTTTTATTGTAGACTTATTCAGCGTTTACGTCGCTGACCGGGTGTTTTGAAAAGAATCACGTGAACCTTTTACATTAAACGAAAATTTTAGTGCATGTATTAATCAGCACAAAGTGTCAATTTATAAAAGAAAGCGGAGGCCTTTAAAGAAGGCCCAATCATATAAATGAAGGGGGCTAAGAAGAAGGTCTTATTCCAACCCAGCACCGGACGAGTGACCCGAGCAAGAACGCGTGGTGAAAATCACCAACCCCGGAGTGCGAGCGCGCCAAGGCTGGGAGATTCACCTGAAAGAGAGCCGTGGGAGCACGCACAGAATCAGCCAGGACAGGTAGGTACCCTGTCTGAAGAAAACAATTTGGACCAATATACTGAAATGGAAGGAGCCGCCGGTGGGGAGAATCTACCACTAGGACCGCCGAAGGGGAGTTCAAGTATGCTTCCCCAAATTCAGAGGCCTGAGGAGGACAACTTAGAGGCTGTCGATCGACGTGAACAAAGATTGATGGAGCTCTCGAGGAAGAGCAACGAAGCGCCGAAAGCACAGATAACAGAATTGCAGAGTCCGACATCCAGGAGACCCGAACAGAAGGGACTGCCTTCGCCGCCCCGTACTGTTCCGAATCCAACGGACAGCTTTTTGAGATACCAAGAGACCCCGCCTCTGGAACCGGTAACGCAGGACATGCTCAATAGCCAGATGCACGGGCTAAGAACACCCGGGCGGGTTGATACTCCGTCACACAGGCATTCCCGAACAAGCGAGAGAGAGTCGAGTCACCAACTGCATCCAGAGATCGAATGGAACTCATCATTTCAGGGACCGAGACCAAAAGACGTCAGATTAGACAGATGGAACCTAAAGTTCGATGGAAGTGGTCGCGGCATGACAGTTGAAAGTTTCCTGTTCCGCGTGGACCGACTGCAAGAATTGTATGACCTCAGCCGTCAACAAGTCTTTCGTGAATTCCATCTTCTGTTGGCAGGTGCAGCCACGAAATGGTATTGGCAGCTAATGGAAGACAAGGCAGAAGACTACGATTTTGACTGCTGTTCGGAAGCCGGCAACTTCGAGGGAAGGTGACTTTCCCAGGGGCAGTCGTCCACGGAGTCTTCTGCCACCAGGACCAGCCACCATATCCAACAGTCCTTGAGGATAACACAATTGCAGCTCGAAATAATCTTGTGTCGAACCAGCGCCGCTATTGTCATCAAAGAACGTGGAGAGGATCAACAATAAGGACGACATCCGACATACTGCGATGTTTGTGGACGCAGTATCCGTGATCTCCATGTTCCTGAAATTTGTTCAGCTGTAGGAACCATCCGTTCAGAGCGTAGCGACCAATAGCATACGTCGGAGAAAGAAGTGATGCAATATAAATGTGTTAATCGAGCCAACCAAAGCTAAAGTGAACTCATGCATAACCAAGGACCAATATCCTCAAATAATACAATTGGATAACAAGTGAAAATCAAGCATTCAAACATGCATTGAAATATATTTAAACCAACCGAATCCTTAGACAAAGTGCGAATCATGATAAACAATTAGAGAGGACGAATCTCTCCACCAGCCGTTGAAGAAGTCGCATGCCTCTGGCATAATATATATATATTTTGTGTATAAGTGAATTGGTATACTTAAGAACAGCCGTATTTTGGTGCACGTATTTTTATACCCGTTACTCGTAGAGTAAAAGGGTATACTAGATTCGTCGGAAAGTATGTAACAGGCAGAAGGAAGCGTTTCCGACCCCATAAAGTATATATATTCTTGATCAGGATCACTAGCCGAGTCGATCTAGCCATGTCCGACTGTCCGTCTGTCTGTCCGTCCGGATGAACGCTGAGATCTCGGAAACTATGGGAGCTAGGCTATTGAGATTTGGCGTGCAGATTCCTGAGCTTCTTACGCAGCGCAAGTTTGTTTCAGCAATGTGCCACGCCCACTCTTACGCCCACAAACCGCCCAAAACTGTGGCTCCTACAGTTTTGATGCTAGAATAAAAATTTTAACATAAGTGTATTCTTCTCATCAATACCTATCGAGTGACCCGAAAAAAAATTGCCACGTCCACTCTAACGCCCACAAACCGCCCAAACCTGTGACGGCCACAGTTTTCATGCTAGATAAAAATTTTAACTGAATTGTATTGGTCTCGTCAATACCTATCGATTGATCCAAAAAAAATTTTGCGACGCCCACTCTAACGCCCATAACGCTTAAATCTGCCTACCGCCGGTAGGTGGCGTATTTAAATCTCGATTTGCTGCTTGCATATCTCCATTTCCCTTTGGTCCCTTTAGCTGAGTAACGGGTATCTGATAGTCGAGGAACTCGACTATAGCGTTCTTCCTTGTTATATATATATATCCAATACAATATTTTCCTAACGCCCAGGATACGGAGCGTCGAGATCTCATCGCCCAGGATTTAAAGAGGGGGTAAGTTTGTCGGGACACGGTTCCTTTCTTATAAACATACATATATAAATATTCGTGCAGTATCCTACAGTTTTATAGACTACTATAAACTTTTTCAGCGGCGAGTATCAGCCTTGTAGTTATATGATAATTGCAAGAGCCCTATGAGCGACGCTTGTAGTCGTGAATAGTCAGTATTTTGCTGATGTGTGCACCTTCATAGGTGATAAATTCGATACTCTCCGCTAACAGAATAATTGTCAATTAAATTAGATTAATCAACAGACGCAGATATATATTACCTAATAAATTTATAATGTGAAAAAGAATTGGAAACCATGGTGTGCTAGAACTCTAACAAAGGGGGTGTGCTGACGCAAGGAGTGTAGTAGGTCAAGAACAATGACATAACTTTCGACGGACAACCTTGACAATAGGGGATCGTATTGCGCGGCCCGCGACGATCCATTGGCACACGAATGTGTGAAGGGGAGGGAATATGGCCAACACACAGCCCGATCGTACTGCGATCAAGCGACAGCTAAGCTTGTTGGGCAGTGTGGACTGATGACTGACGAACTTGATGACTAATATTATTTTCCAGGCACTTTTAATATTTATTCTCGTTATGTTGGAGAGGAGAGAGGCTTACCAAGATCCCACGACCCAACTACGTCGTAGGTTATGCCGGCAAATATTGCCTGAACATCGGACGCCTCTCCCAACGTTAGGATATTTCATATTCCTTAAGGAATTTTACCAGGATCCACAATCTCGGTACCTGCGGTATCGGAATAGGTGTACCTAGGGATGGCATTGCTTTCATCTTTATTTACCATGAGTAGTTTGACTGTTTGGTAGAACAGGGAGCTTAAATAATTTTAAATATGCGCATACTTATTTTGTCTTTAAATTAGTAACTTTAAAGTCCCCAACTTCTGTGACTGTCCGTGTTGAGAGGCCACTCAATCAGAACTTTGTCGCAGAATAGAGGCCTGACTTTGAAATGATTTTTAACATGAGAAATTCCCTGTTTTGTTCATGGACAAATTTACAGAAATTTCCTGTAACCAAGAACTATGAGTTATCCTTTTTATAATATCATACCTACAACTAAGTGCCGACCGACTATTTGGTAAAATTAACGTAGATACAATTTATAGGTGCTTTCTGGCCGACGCCCCACG